AGTGTGATCAGTACAGTTGGTGATAACACAATTAATACAGGAAATATCATAAGTAGTATAATGATCCAGGCAAACTTCCACCCACTTCCACTTCCCTCTGTCTCTTCCGTCATTTCTCTGAGGAGACAGCTCTCTCTGTCCCCATCTGTCTCCATGCCTGTCTTCCTGTCTTTATCTCTTCTCTCTCTCCTTCCCTTGTTTTCTTACCTTCCTCCCAATAAACTGTCCACATAAGTCATGTCTACAGGTCTCTGTCTCTTGTCCGCCTTGGGACTCAACTGAGGTCCAGCCTCAGACTGCCTGAGGACCCTGAGCAGACCAACTGCCCATTTGGCTACAGCTGGCCCCCTTTTGCCTGTCACCTCCAAAAAATTTCCCAGGAGTGAGGCCCACATCACCCTCACCGGGTGGTATCTTCTTCCTTCAGCTTCAAGCCTTAGGCAGTAACAATGATTCCAGCGTCATTTCAGGCTTCTTATTCCTGGGTCATCGTTTCTTTCAGCTGTAAAAGCAACCTGTGCCAGGATCTTGATCCTCGGTGTAATAGCCATTGGATCTCTCTGCCTCACCCAAGGGAGACAAGTCGACAAAGTATATCCCAAAACCTTAAGGGGCCTTTCTTGGCTAAGGGCAAACACATAACCTGTCCCTGGCAGCCGCCATCTATGTGAAGGCAACCATGCGATCACCACCATTTTGCTTGAAGTCAAGAGAGATGCTTAAAAGCCTTTTTTTATTAAAGGCAAGACAGGCTTATGATCCAGCCACAGGCCCACCCACCCAACATAGTTCTTCCCTGCACAGTGGCCTCTGCCGACAAACCCTGCTGCCAGTCATAATTCATTTACCTTTTTGCCTTTTGCTTCTTTGTCTCTAACTTCTTCTTTCCCTGGCTCTGTTGCATGTGGCTTGTTTGCATAATGCCTGCTGTGCCTTTCCAGGGCCCAGCTGGGCACCCGTTTCATGCAAAAATACTTGGTGCGGCATCTACAGAGGATCTGCCCTCTCCACCTGTAACGAATCTGCTCTGTGGCCTTTCGTCTTGGTCAACACTGGCTTTCCCTTCTTTTAAAATTTACTTAGCTCCTGTTTAAGAAATACACATGTTGCCGGGCAGTGGTGGGGCACACCTTTAATCCCAGCACTCGGGAGGCAGAGGCAGGCAGATCTCTGTGAGTTCGAGGCCGGCCTGGACCGACAGCCTCCAAAACAATACAGAGAAACCCTGTCTCGTAAAAACCAAAAAAAAAAAAAAAAAAAATACACATGTGCATGAACGTGAACTAGCTCTAACTCTGTGTGTATGTATGCAACTTTCAAATTCAACTGTGCGTATGCGTACATGTAGCTACTGTTTAAAAAAAATGTAAGCTAGCTTTATCTATGCATGCACATCTCTTTCCCTGCTAAGGAAGCAATAAGTCTCAAATATTTTTTAAATTGGTATATGTTCTTATACGGTGATTAAAAAATTTAATTTTTATATTGGCATATATTTTTAAAAGATGATTTTAAAAATTTAAGATTATAAAGATCTATTTCAAATTAACAAACTACTTACACCACCCAGTCCTTCCTGCAAGCTGTTTACAAGAGTGACCCAACCAAGTAAAATTAAATTAAATCGGCTATAAGCTAAAGAGAATTGCCTCCCGCGCGGCGTGGCCTTCACTGTTGTCGGTATTTAAGATTAAGCTTCTATTACAAAAGGGAATTTTTCTTCACTTCTTTGTCCTTCACAGACATAAATCTAACCTACTAAGTTAAATCCAGTTACATTCAGGCTGGAGGACTCTGAGTAAAACATCCCTCCACAGCCTCTCGGCTTGGATCCAGTTCTCCAGACAGATCCTACACTAATGTCATTGTAGCCATACTAGGTACAGATATAATTAATTACAGGGATAAGGCCTTACCTGGCCACCTCTGTGTTTAAGACAAGTAACTGAAGAAAAATTTTGTCTGCTGAGATATACTAAATAGACAGCTCCTAAATGCTCAGAGATCTATAGAACATAGTGTTTAAAATGTAACATGCCAACTGGTGGCACCACCCCATTTCCTCCAAAGACTGGTGAACGCTAAAGACATTCTACTCACGAAAGTGGCATCGCTAGCCACTTAGCAAACCTGCCTTTTACTTGATCTGCTGCAAAGGGCTCTTCAGACGATGGACAACAGGATGCTGAGGAACTGACTGCCACAGGACCTTCTTAAAACTTAGCAGGCCTGGAGATAGAAGCAGAAGGCAAATGGCCTAAAGCCACTGCCCTCAACAATTGTGGAGGACTCTGGCAATGGCGTTCCAGGTAGTCAGTTAATAAGTCTCTGTCATTCTCTAATCATTAATTCAAGTAAAATTTATCCTTCTCAAGAACTCTGATACAGTTTGACAACTGGTAGATTTGCCAGTTTAGAAGGGACAAACTCACAAAACAGATTTCAGTATCATTTCTTATCATTCCTTTGTTTAAGGTGTAAAGTTTATGTGAGGACATGAAGGATTAAGATGTGAGGATCTAGAAATGTTTCAAGGTATAAGAAAGTGACTTAAGGTGTACAAATACCCTGTCATATTTCTCTCTCTCATTATGCTACTGTTCATAGTCTTAACATTAATCAATAAAGTTCTGATAAGCTATTAATCCAACTCTGACAGGGCACTAAACAACATATTATAGATTAAGGTGCTTCTCGTTGTGCTAAAAATCTGCTTGTGACATAAATATACTGCCATTTCTACAATACAAATTTCAGTACAGATTATAAACAGTAGAAATGCTAGTGTGTCTAAAATTTATCTTTTCACAAACTCACAAAGAATTCTCGTAAATTCCGGGGAGCCAAATTGGATCCACCCAAACAGATCAGATTCACTCTAGATAAATATCATTCGACCTTTCCCTGGTTCTGGGACTTCGTTCCCTCATCTTGGGACCCCTCGGGAACTCCTCCCTCATCTTACAATCCTCTTCCCTCAATTACCAGGACCTAAGAAATTTTTTTCCTAAACCTAACCTTGTCCTCTGCTCTGCCAACATCTTGCCAGATCCAAGAAGTGCCAGAGAGTTCCATAGAGCCTGGACTGCAATGAAACAACCAGCTATCCCAGGATGTGGCAGCACCCCAGCTTTCTCAGATCCCCCAAAGATGGTCAACTCCCCCCAGGTCAGCAGGAAGTAGTCTTGAGAACTTGATGCCCTCATTCCCTAACCTGCCATGCCTAACTCCTTACCTTTTTAACATAAAAAAACATGATCAATACAGTTAGTAATAACACAATTAATGCAGGAAATATAGTAGGTAGTATAATAATCCAGGCAAACCTGGCCCTGCCCTTTGACATAGCACTCATTCTTTAAAGCGGAAAACTCCATCCACTTCTACTCCCCTCTCTCTCTCTCCTTCTGACATTACTCTAATGAGGCAGCTCTCTCTGTCCCCCTCTGTCTCTGTCTCTCTGTCCTTCTTTACCTCTTCTCTCTTTACTTCCCTTATCTTCTTACCTCTTCATCAATAAACTCTCCACATAAGTCATGGCTACAGGTCCCTGTCTCTCACTGCCACGGGACATATCACGGGACCTACCTGGGTCCCACCTCCTGCCATATTCCCACCATGCCATATTCTTAACAAGTAGAATTTGATTTCACACACAAGAATCTCCACATGTCAGCATAGCAAAAAGTATCAGTAACACAGGCCTGAAGGCCACTTATGACTGTGGAGGATTGCAGGGGCCTTTGAATAGAAGCATAGTTGGTAGCCACAAATAACTTGTATAAATGTCTTTGAAGAACAGGATGAAGTAATGGTTTGGTCAAAAACATAGGGACAACCCATCCTGGCGAAAAGCAACGAGTAAGTTTCTCCTGCTACTAAAAATTATTTATTCCACAGAGGATATCCTTGTTTATTGCCAGTCAGATATTGTGTATAATCATGAGTGGGACTAGAACAGACTAGTCATAAATTTTGCCTTGGATGCCCTTAGGGGAATAAACAACACCTTTTTCAGAAAAAAAAAACCCACAAGGAAACCAACCAACTTGGGTACCTTGTAAACAGGACCAATAGACTCCCATGAACGGTTCTATTTTCCCTGGGGCAAGCAATCAGGAAGTTGTTATGGTGATCTCTCTTTAGTACTAGCCAATTGAATGGGCAGGGTTTCATCAGCCCCTTAGACAAAAGAAAAAAACCAAAGGTCCCATTTACCATCTTCCTTTCCTCTAAGTGAGTCAGCCACCAATGTCCTATAAGAGAGGCACATCCAGACTCAAGAGTGATATCAGCCAAGAAGCATCTTCATGTCCTGTATAGTTTAGGAGACCAGAACTCTTATGATGAACAAAAACATCCCTGCCTTCCCCACTCAGCTTAGAATCATTAGCCACCATGATCACTTCCTCAAAATCCCAAGCCACAGGGTGAAAATTTTGGAAAGCAGGTATTTATCCCCTTATATAAGGACATGTTTACCTGGGACCTAAGACATACTGTTCATGAATATACACAACTATAATACAGCATTGCTGTCTTTAACAGCTCCATATATAGTCTAAGTTATCAGGTACCTCAAAACCATGTTTTAGAAAAAGGTTATTGTGCAATGCCATGGTAAAAAGGAATTAAGTCTCTCAAGTATTCCTTTGGAGGCAGTTAAAATAAGTCTAAAAATAAATAAAATTAATACAACCATGATTTTAATGTAGGACTATCAGTAAGCAAAACCAAAAATAATTAAATGTGGACAGTCCAGACTGCCACAAAAAAAAAGAAGAAAAAAGAAAAGAAAATCTATTTATTTTACTTATATAGCTATATAGTTTTTTATTACATGGGTCACCAGAGGCTAACTTTCAAGTCTACATCAGAAGGAGTATTTGTTAAAACAAAATTAAACAAACTTAGAACCATGATTCAACAGAAACCGGCTCTGGGACATAAGTCCAGAATTATTCCTGAGTAGCACGTACTGATACTAAAGATAGCAGTACCTGTGTGTGGAGAGAGAGAGAGATCAGCCAAAAGTTGAGAGGGAGGAGAGTCTTCCTTCACAACTTAATCAATCTTCAGGACTGACAGGATCTTTAGTTATATGTCCTGGGTTTGGAACTTAAACATCCCAACCCTTCTGTTGAATGAGTGACAAGGGGTGACGTAATCGTCTATGACTACTTCCTGCTGACATTAGGACATTGCTGGGGACCAAAAAGGCTGGAATGCTGACCTAGTCTAGGAAGAGCGAGCTGCTTTATTCACTGTCCAGGTTCTAGAAAACCATCTGGGGACTTGGAGGCAGGAGTTGGCATAGTCTTTAGCCTTTATTTGACTGGAAATCTGATGTTTATTGAGGGCAAGAAATAAAGTTAAGGACCTTTGGGGGGGGATTTTATTTTCTTAGGTGTACATTTGAAACTTCCAGGTCCAAGGTCCTGGGGGCTAGGGCAAGGGTGTTCCAAAATCAGGGAAAGGGGAAGAGGTCCTGTCCCCCAAAGGATAGGCAAGTAAGAAAACAGGTTTGTTGAGTTACTTTTCTGGAGTCCTGTGAGAGGTGGATCCAAACTGATCTCCTGTTGCTTATAAGAACTTCTCTTTCTGTCTGTTGATGGGGAAGTCCTGTGTATATGTCAATAAAGCACTGTTGGCCAATAGGGAAGCAAGATAGGTGGGACTAGGAGTCGAGGAGGATTCTGAGAAAGAGAAACACAGGGACTCATAATGTAGCCACCATAGAAATAAGAGGTCCGGACCCTTTTCTCCGGTAAGAGAAATACTTAGATTAGCAATTATGAGTTAAATACTTAAGTCAAAGCTAGCCAGTAAGAAACAACCAAAGGCCAACAGAACAGCTTCATAATTAATATAGCCTCCTGTGTGTTCATTTGGGACTGATGCGGCTCTGGAACCAGGCTGGCGGGAAGACTTCACGCTACATATGGTGTCAGCATGTGGGATTGAATTTCCACGTAGAATGACAAAAGCTTAAAAGGAATTTTAGAAACAAAAGAACAGAGAGAAGCATGGCTTCTTGATAGCAGCGTTTTTCTCAGGTGGGCTCTGTTTTACCAGAGACAGCAGAGACTCACAAGGCTCACTTAAGGGAGTCTTCATAACTCGGAATAAGCAAAAAAAAAAAAAGCAAGGTTCTTTTAAGAGGCTCTGTTAACAACTGAAAGGTGTGCACGAGCATCTGGCAGTGGCAGTGACCACATCTCCAAGCTGGCACCATGCTGCTGCATGTCAGCATAGATTGAGGCGGTGAGCTGGAGTCAAACTTACGTTACACCCACCATGTTGGACAGCCAGCAACTGTTTATGCTTTAATTTTAGCAATGTTATTTAGCCTATATAAGACATGTGTCCAGAAAAACATAAAGTTTTACAGTAAGGTCAGATTCAGATAAAGAAAAATATAAGTAGACTTGGGAGAGTAAAAGAAACAAGATATTGAAGAAATTAAAAATAAAGTAGCTGGGTGTGGTGGCACACGCTTTTAATCCCAGCACTCTAGAGACAGAGGCAGGTAGATTTCCAAAGAGAAACCCTGTCTCAGAGAAAAATAAATAAAAGTAAAGGAAATAGAGTAATATAAGCCACATAAAGATGGAAAATACACAGAAATTCTGGATACTGTATGCTATTGTGTTTTTCAGTTGTTTAGTGGCTAAGGAAGGAACAATTGCTAAAATATACTTGATTATAAATGCTGCTGAATTAATTCAACTTACATATTTCAAAAATGCTTTGACCTCTAACTTTAAATATAAGGACCAGTTACTTGGGAAAAGAATTTTTGTTTGTATTTCTACAGAAAATGGAAAGCTGTGGATCCCTTCCAGGCTTCTGTGGTTTGATGATCCAAGACCCCTGGAAGCAGTAGGCCAGGTGTTCCAACAATTAAGACAGCTAAGATGATGTAGCCTTACAGACCACAAAAATAAGGACTTTTACAGGTTTTTTAGTTTTGTCATGATCCCCATGGTATGAACAGCGCCCCCTTCCAGCAGGAAACTGTTTGGAATGAGCTACATCCAAATTCCCATATTGTTTATAAATCTTTCTTTTCATTTGAATGGGGTTGCTTATAATTGGTTAATGATCACAACCAATCTCTTTTTAATGGTAAAAGGGGTATTATGGTATGGAATGAATACTTGGTATGGGTATAGTTTTTCATTTATTGATACAAATTCAAAGTCAATTTTGTGATGTGCATGTTTCTCCTCTTTATTAACTATTGTGTTTATACTAATCTTTTAAAATGTAATGCATAATTAAATACAGATTATAGACAGTTACTTATAATAGTCAGAACTTATAGTTAGGTTAGTTAGGTTTTCTAGATATACAGAGATATATTTGAGATAGATAGTCTTCAAACCTTTCAAAGACCTTCAGAAAATGGCATTTAAAATGGTTTATGGTTTTTCTTGACAATGAGAAATGTCTGCTCCTGGCACATCAATTACATCTGAGAGGAAGATGGGCATCGAAGAAACTTGTTATGAAGTTTGCTTTCAATATGGCAAGATTAGTCATTTGGGCAAGAAACTGCTCTTGCCTGGACTGCTTGACTGTTGCTGTATAAACTAGACATGCAGGACCCACAGGAAGGTGACTGCTGAATTCAGTGTCACAGGGTTCCTGCTTCATAGAAGAGTCTGCCAGACTTTCTGCAGGACACAGAAAATGACTGACTGACTGCCAATGCAGATATACAGCTTGAAATTTCCTGCTTTGCTGAGAAGTCTTCCAGACACACTGTGGCCTATGGGCTGAAGATGGATGCCCCAGCGTTACAGAGGAACTTTGGGTGACTGTCCAGGCAGCGAGATGTCTCTGTCAATTCTAGTGTTTATATATTATCCTTCTGTGGTCTTTGATGGAGTTGAAGACAGACAGTTATAATCATAGTTTTCCTTAGTTATGGTAAAAGATAAATTACATATAAGACTTTAGACTCACAAAGATAGGATAGATGGTATTTTCTTTAAATCTTACTAAATGTTAATGAACAAAATATTCTAACTATGCTCTTACTTGATAACTGTTCTGTTATATGTAATTTGACTATGTTAAAGATAAAACCTTTTTATTTAGACAGAAAAGAGGCTCTGGAACCAGACTGGCGGGAAGGCTGCACTCTGCAGTCTGTCTATCTGTTATGTCTATGTTAGCTACCTGTCTATGTTAGCAAGTGAGCATTACCATTGTTTGTAGTCTATACTGGAATTCACATTGTAGAAAAGGTAGTAGACTCATGCCTTCGAGTCATAGTAAAATGTTATGAGCCTAAAAATAGAACTTGTATTTGCATACCTTAAGTTACATATGTTTTAGACCTTAAAACAGTTTTTTTTTATCCTTACAGTGTATGTTTTTTATATCTTTAGGACTTGTACAGGCTTTACAACTTTTTAATCCAGTTGTGTATACCATGAAATATAGGTAGTTGATTACTGAAACATTTATTATAAAGCAAGCTTCTTGTAATAAAAGAATAGTAAAAAATTACTTTGAAACTCTATTTATTTGTTTATTTCATTTATTTCTGGAATCTGATAGCAAAGCAATAGTAGCTCTAGGGGAGTGAGGCCTGTGAACTGATTGTCACATGAAAGGAGAATGGAGGGGGTAGGTCAAGCCTTGTGAAAGGGAAGGAACTGTGTGCTTCTTACTCTTAAAGCTACAATCAGTCAGAATCCTCAGAGGTCTGGAAAGGACAAATTATAACTGGAAATATAATCTAAATGGTCTATGTATCAATTAAAATGACAGAGATCCATTACCTAGACAAGTTTCCCCAGGTCCTGGTGGTCTCCATAGTTTTGTTGGGGGGCAGTGGTGGTAGGTCTTTGGCTGTCATACAGGACTACACTTAATTTTTCTGTAGAAGAGCACTTTAGGCTGGCCGGGCAGTGGTGGCACACGCCTTTAATCCCAGCACTCAGGAGGCAGAGGCAGGCGGATCTCTGTGAGTTCGAGGCCAGGCTGGACCGACAGCCTCCAAAACAATACAGAGAAACCCTGTCTCATAAAACCAAAAAAAAAAAAAAAAAAGAAGAGCACTTTAGGGGAATGACCTCACTTTGACCAGGCCAAATAGGGCAATCAACCCAAAAGTGTCCACAATTTGAGCAAAGCTCTGGCAACAAGTGAGGCATGGGGCAGTTTTGTCTATTATGGAAGCTTAGACATTTTAAATGTCGTATTTTGCAGATCCCTGAAGCTTATGTCTGAATAGAAACTTTTTATTTCTAATAACTTGTTTTAGGCTTAACTTTGAAAATTGTGAGGGCTAACGAAGGCTTATTTTTATAATTAGTTATATTAGTATTTATTATGACTAAAACCAAAATTTTGAGGATATTAAAGAATTTGATCATTTATAAGGTGACTTACACATAATTACATAATTTCCACTCTCTGCCTTTCTCCCTCCAAACCCTCCCACACTCCTCATTTCCTCTCAAAATCACGGCCCATTTTTCTTTATTATTGTTACACATATATACATGCATAAATGCATAAATAAAACCTGCAGGCTGGAGAGATGGCTTAGCCGTTAAAGACTAGGCTCACAACCAAAAATTTAAAACGTGCTGAGTCTGTTCAGTGCTGTGTGCATGCATATGATTTCAGGGCTGCCCACTTGGGAGTGGGAAGCCAGTTAGAGAGCCATCCCTGGGAAAGGCTAATTCTCCCTCTTTGCATTCCTTAGCTGCCTGAAGTTCTTTGTCTTAGAGGTGAGACCCCCTGAGCTTTCCTTCCTCCATGTTAGCTGTATATTGATGCTGTACTTGTTCGGGTCTTGTTCAGACAGGCATACTATTGAGACACAACAGTTGTAACTTCCCTGTCCTCTTTAGGAGACAGAAGCTCACGCACTTTTATTTTAAATTGTGCATGTGTGCGTCTGTGTGAATACATGCTAAGTGTATTCAGGAGCCTCCGGAGGCCAGAAGCACACACTGGAGCCCCTGGCGAGGGAGTTGCAAGCGTTTGCAAGATACAGGTCCTGGGAATCAAACTTGGTCCTATACATGAGCAATACACACCCCTACTGCTGAGCCATCTTTCTAGCCTCTAGCTCCCGGAGCCTAGGAGTGACTCTTAA